AAAAAAAAAAAAAAAGAAAAAGAAAAAGAAAAAAAGATGTATATGTAAAATAGAACAAAGCCTGGCACACAATATGTGATCAATAAATGGTAGCTTTACATTTCCCCATAGCTGTCAACAGTGAACCCCTGGATGGACCCTGGTCCAAAATAACCCGGTTTCTCTACTCTGTCATGACACCCTCTATTCTCAAAGCCCTTCCCAAATGTGCCTGAGAACTTGATCGACCTTGATCTGCAGGTCCACTCAGCCTTGCACCTACTATATCTCAGTAGATTCTTCAACTACCCCAACAGATGGGAGACCCTGGGTTTCCCTCAGTGTGGCTATGGCAGTCCTGAGGCCTCCAACGTGGGCTCTGGGTGGTCAGGAGCATTTTGCCATACATAGGACTTCTGCTGCTTCCTCCCTGGCACCCTCAGAGCCAGCGAGCTTCTCTGGAGCTGCACTATCTACTCCAGCCTTCCCTGTGCGCACTATATACCCTGCGACCTACATATGCTGAAATATGTGGGTGAGCATGTTGAAAGGATACAATTAAAACAACCTGAAACTGGTGGTGTGCCAAGCCTGCTGGAGATCTTTCAGATATCCCCAGAGTTAAACACATTAGTGACATTTGGGGATGCTGCAAATCAGGGCTGGGAACTGCATAGCCAGACAGCTCCATGCCCCATTTGTCACATTCCAGACCCTGTCCTTCACTCCCTTCTCTTCCCAGGAGACACTGGTTTCTGGTAAATGTAACCAAGGAACATAAACCCAGTCAGCCTGCTCTCCTAAATGCCACTTAATTACATCTATTGGCCAGGAAGCACTCTATCTGGGCCAGACTGCCGACCCACAAGGGTCACTGTCCCTGTGCCTCTTTACATTGCTTCCCCTCACTGAGCCACCTTTTTACCAAGAAAACCCCCAGGGAGGCTGTTATGCCACATCTAGGTGCCCACGTGAGACATTTTAGCTGCCTGAGTGGCCTCAGCCATCTCTGGTGCCAGGGGATCCTGCTGTCTGGCTCACTCAGTAGCCCCAGTCCACCTGTCCTGCAGGTTGCTCAAAAGTATCTTAGAGTTCTTGCTCTTTCAGGGTCCAGGGGGCCTGAAAACATCATACTGGCCAGAGGGTATGTTTGCATTCAAGAATGAGGGACCTGGGGCTTGGGATTTAGCTCAGTGCTTTGGCTGCCTGCCTCACAAGTGAAAGGTTCCAAGGTCGATCCCCAGGACCGGAAAAAAAAAAAAAAAAAAAAAGAGAGAATGAGGGTCTTGGACGATTTGCTTCCCTTGTATGGGCAATGATATTAGTTGTGGCCAGAGAGCCCCAGGTACAGAATCCAGTTCTGATGTTTATGGCTGAGGGATCTCATGCCAGACTGGAGTCTCCAGACTCATTTTCCTCTCCTGCTTCATTGGGTATTGTGGCTTTGATCAAAAATTTCCCAGGCCGGGGATTTAGCTCAGCAGTTCGGTGGCCTGCCTTGCAAGCGCAAAGACCCAAGTTCAATCCCCAGTACCAAAAAAAAAAAAAAAAAATTTCCCTTAAAGTCTCACGCTTTTGGAGCTTTTGTAAGGTGAATGAATCACAGGAGCCGTATAGCTGACTTGCTGTTGGGAGGTGGGGTCTGGTTGGAACAGGCAGGTCACTGTGAGCCCGTATCTCCTTCCCTGACTGCTGCCTTCTCTCTTTGCTTTCTGGATGCCATTAATGTGAGCAGCTTCCTTCCACCCAGGCCCTTCCACCATGTTGCTTCTGCCTGAAGCCACTTGACCATGCAAGGATTAAGACTTCTGAAACTGTGAGCCAAAATGAACCTCTTCCCCCTTTAAGATGTGGATGTTGTGTCTCAGTGACAAGAAAGTGACTAAGACATTGGGTTATCTGTGAGGATTAATGAGACATCAGACTTACAGCTCTTAGCCTAGACCCTGAACTGCCATAGGTAATCAGGGTGACCAGGACCACAGACCTCACCCTGGGGTCAAAGGGGGATTAGGGATGGAGAGGCACTGGATGTTCATGTGTGAAAGAGAACAGGGATGGGGCTCTGGTCAGCCGACTATCTCAGCCTGGATGGGAGGCTGGGATACAAGCTCACCTCCCCCTTGGGGGTCGTGACTGCTGTCCGACGTGGGTCAATGTCCTCATTGATGCTGGACAGGAAGTTCTGGGAGATGCGAAGGGCATCCTGTAGCAGTGGGTAATCTGGGTGGTCCACGGGTGTGTGCTTCAGCAGGTCCTGGGAAAGAAAGATTGGGGGTGCTGAATGGTGGGGGGCAGTTCAATGAGAAGATAGTGGGGAGCACACAATTCTCAAAAATAGAATTCTGAGGGAGGATATGCAGGGACCCACACTCTAATCTGGTCATGCCTGTAAAATCTGACCTAAAAATTAGGGCCAGAACAATCAGGCTGAGCGCAGTGTTCCTCTTTATTTCTGCTGCAGTTATGAGTCTTTCCTCTGGTGGAGATGGTCAGGCAAAGCCTCATTTCACAAAGCAGCTTGGAAAGACACCCCTCAATCTATCCTACAGCTGCTCCCAGGACATACAGACCACAATGCAGGGGATGGGCAAGCCGGAAGTGCCTCCTAGGGAGCGTTTGGCCAAATATCAAGCTTAGTAGCCAAGCTATATTTAGGCCCTGGCCCTGTTGGCATGGTTACCGCAGGCCAGGCAGGCGCAGTCAAGGCTCAGGGACCCTCTGTCTGGCTCCCAGGATGGCCTGTTCTCAGTGATCCTAGTGCCTTCCCAACACACTCCTAACCCCTCCCTGGCCATTCAGGGGGCCTGACACTCACGTGTAGAACCAGGGTGCTCCGAGTGACCCGGTCGATGGGCTTGTAAAGCAGAGCTGTTGAGGAAGGCAGGGAAAGAAGGATGATAAAACACAAAGAACAACTCAAGACCAGCTTTATCCTCTAACCCACATTGTTTCCCCAAGTGAACACTCATTTGCAGGACACTAAGGAAGGTCCTGAAGTCACCTGTACCACTACTCTCTCTCATAGCAGGCCATGCAAAAGAACAGGCTAAAACACAGTGCTGGCTACTTAGGTCCCTCCCCACACCTGCCTTATCTCTCTCCCATCAGACATGACTTCTTCCAGGGCCATCCTTAGGCCTGTCCTGCCTCAGAGCAGGTGTTCCTCTGCATGTCACGCCTCAAATCCCACTGTGCAGCACCCTCTGGGCCCCACCCAGGCCTCCAGGATCGGGGAAGAAGACATTTCATTTTTCTAGGAAGGGCTGTTCTCTCATACCTATGGTTCTCATATTCCTTCAGTCAAAGGCCTAGTACCATCAGTTGGGAACAGCATGTTTCATTCCAGCCTGCACATTCAGCCTCATCTCTATAAGAAAATATGCTTCTTTATATATTCCCTTGAACCTCCAGAAAAAAACAGGATCAGCTGGGTGGCCAGGAGGCAGGCCAGACTCCCTGAAGGAATTCAGGTAGGACCTTGCTAATGGAAGCCCCCAGGGAGCTAGGAAAATGCAAGTTTAGCTGAGACCCCAGGTGCCCCACCCCTCCAGACCTAGACACCAAAAGAGGATTCCTGGGATTCAGCAGGGACAGGTGGAGGAAGCAGCTGGCAGCTCAACACTTCCAATAATCCTTCCAGCAGGCAGCTGTGCCCACCCCTCCCAACATGATAGTTCAGCATTGGCCTTGCACCTGGATTCTCTAGTGCAGGGGGTCATGACCTTTGGCCTCCTGCCACGGAAACAGTAAGAGGCAGGATGCTAGTTAGAGAAAGAAGAACATACCTGGGTGTCCAGTAGAACTAGGTTAGAACAGATCCCTGAGCTCATGCCCCAGCCAGCCCCCAAACCACAGTCCCTGAAGCCCTAGATATAAATACCCTGTGAAGTACTAAGCAGACACTTCAGGGGACAATCTGCTGGCTATGGAGATGCGGTCTCAGCAGTGTCCCAAGAGTCTTATCTGAAGTCTTTGCTTGGCTGCCCATTAGAATCACTGGGGAGCTCTTAAAGGAAAACAGATGCCTCTGCCTCCTCCAACCTACCCCATCAACTAAACCCAAAACTCTTCAGGATGAAACCAGGGTAGCAGTATTTTCAAAGAGCTCCTTTGCTGATTCGGATGCATAGCAATGGTTGAAAACCACTGCATAATGCAAACACCCTTTCTATGACTTATTTCTAGCCCTCTCACATCTAGCAATCTCTAGAGACTCTCTTCATGGGACACAGGAGCTGGAATGGGCAGGATCAGGTTTGGGGCATCATGAGACAGTGAGCTGACACTAGCTCATGGGGGGACCGTTTCTGAAGCCATTTAAGGCACCCACCCACCTGTGGCTCAGCCCATCTTCAGGGGAAAATTCACCCCAGGATGAGCCCAGAAGCACAAGGTCAGCAGGAAGCACAAGGTCAACAGACACCTGCCAGGGTGGGCCCTTGACTCCCAGCCCCCAGGAAAGATGACACTGCACTGTCAGCTTCTTCAGCCCTCTCTCAGGTCCCAGGGGGAAGAGGTTTCTGACTAAGCTCAGAGATCTGTACAAATGGCGGGTTGGATTTCAGGGGGTTATTAATATGCCTGTATAGTGTCCACCTGATGGGGGTTGTGGGATGAGTCCCACAGCCACAGCCTTGGCAGAATAGAAGGAGGGAAGTTGGGAGGAAAAGTGAGGAGAAGAAAGGACACAGAGAAGACCTGTGGCCAGTCGGATACAAGAGGGCCAAGAGTAGGGCACCCCAGAACTTGAGCTTTCCTGCCCTTGCGTGCCTGCTTCCTCTGAAGATTCAGGGTGAGGAGACTCCCCTTGGCCCAGGAGCTGCTGCCCCATCCTTGTGCCAGCCTGCTGCCTGCTCCCTCTTCACCCGCTTCCCCATTCCTCCCTATGCTGTCCTGCCTGGCAAGCCCACCATCTGACATCTGCCACACTTGTCTCTCTGCCTCTTCCAGGAAGCCTTCCCTGACCAGTACCTGTGCAAACAATACTTGCAGTGGCCAAAAGTCAGACCACTGCCATGGGCAAGCTGGCCATTTTCCAATTTGCTGGGGGTATACTCTGTGCCCAAGCAAAGTAGTGGAGAACCCTACGGTGTCTGGGCATGACACAGAGCTCTGTGACCGTGGCACTAAGTTAACTGCTCTGTGTGCATTATACCCTGTGATTAAAAAGGAAGCAACTGTCTTTAGCCCCATTTTATAGATGATGAAACTGAGGCACATATTTATGTAACTTGCTCACAGTCACAAATCCGTAAGTTTTGTTCACTCATGCTCCTAATGTTGAACGGACTTCTTCCTCAGGAGAGGGCAGCTCCTGTGAAAGGTCAGTGACCTACAGTAGAGTTCTTCTAAAGATTTGCCAGGAATGAGCTGGCCTCTCCTTAAGAGCCAACTCCTCCCTTCCCCATTCACCACTTTGAAAACAACTTCAAAGATGGTATTGTAGGGACCAGAGAAATCCCGAACTCCAGGCCCCGGGCCTGTTTCACTAAGACCAAGCTTCCTTTTGGGGAGAGTTGACCCCTTTTCTTTTTAGGGAAGCCAAGCTAAGACTTAGCCATCTCCTAGGCTAGTCCAAAACACAGCATGTACCCTCTGCTCTCTGCACAAGTCAAGCTCTCCTCTTGGCCACAGCGTGTCAGAATCAGCCAAAGGGCAGGTGGCTGACAGGGAGGCTTCTGCCCTTCAAATACATTGTCCACAACTGCTGCCCCTGAGGTTGCTTCCATCACAAGTGGCCTTTGACACAGCACAGCCCAGCAAGGTGAGGGGACTGTGGTCCTACACAGCCTCTCCAGCACAGCAGCCCCTGGGAAAGAGCCCAGGAAACCTCATCCATTATCTCTCCTCCAGCAAATTACCACCCCCCTCAGTTCAGTATTTGAGGAGGAGCCCCAGGTTACCACGGAGATGGGAAAGCAAAGTGACTGAAAAGGGTACAGACAAAAGGCCTGGTGGGAGAGAAGAGGAAGGTCCTAAAATCAGCCACCTGCCGCTCTGACACACATGGCCCACAGCAGCTGATGTGAAGGCAACATTTGCCCCCCATCCTGTGTCCTGCTAAAGGCAGCTTAGATCACCCCTAAGGCACTTCTTGCCTCAGAGCAGAGCCCATCAGCTTCTGGACACCTCCCTGCCTAGGCCTGTGAGCAACAGCCAGGCTGACAGCACGTCTATCCCAGGACCAGTGGACCAGCTCCCACCCCAGCTAAGGAAGCTGCACAGAGGATGCTGTGGCTCCTTCCACTGAAGGGTGGGTGTGTGACCTTCACAAAGCAGCAGCCTGCCACACCCCCTCTCGACAACCCAACCTTCCCGCTCAGTGCGGAGTACGGAGACCTTGGCTCGGAGGTCTCTGGAGGCTGGAAGGAAACCTCCCGGGAGTAACCCTGTTTCTCTTTGCCCTCCCAGTGGCTCCTTGCTCTCCCAGTGGGTCCTGAGAGAAAGAAGCATGTGCACTTGCACACAATACATGGGCTTCTCAAGCCTCCTCTCCTCTCTCTGGAAACAAAGAAATTCCCAACTTCTCCCTCCAGCCCAGGCTGGCGCCTGCTAGCTTCAAACTACCAGTCAGGCCCTCTGCCCCTTTCTCCCTGGCTTCAGTGCTACCCTGTCTGCAGACACAGCCTGTCATCCTCTCCAGGAAGTTGCTCAAAGCCTCTCAGGTACATGCAAAACCACCAGTTCCCCACAGATCTTTTTTTGTGGGGGGCACACATGGTCCCTACCAGCCTGGTCCTTCCATTTCAGAACCAACCTGCTCTGAGCAGCACTCCCCTCCCTGCTGGCTGTAAGGGGAGTGTACACAGGTCCAACCAGTTGTCCAACCTCCCTTCTCTGCTATCCCCGAATCCTGTAGCCACACTTAAGCCCACTCCAGCCAGTCCCCAGGTAGTTTAAGGCACACCACCTCCCATGGAGAGGTGCCTGGGTTACCATAGGTGCAGTTACAGCAGAAGCGAACGATGAGGAGAATTTCCATGGCAGCCTCTGTCCCTGCAGCAGGGGCGTGTAGCCATCGCTCCCAGCTCCCAGATTCCTTCAGCAGCCGGGCCACTCAGCAAGGGGCCACCTTGCCGGTGGCTGCTGTACAGCCTCTAGAATCAAGCGGCCGCTTCCTTCTAAGTGCTCCTCCAGCAAGGGGGAGGGCGGGAAGCGCGTGGAGAGACAGGAGGAGGGAGGGAAGGGAGGAGGGAGCGAGCGCCTGCTGGCATCCTAAGGAGGAGCACGTTTGTAGCTGGCCCACTGCCTGGAGAGAAGAGGCTGGATTCACTGCATGCGCGCATGCACACACACACACGCGCACACATACACAAGCAGGGAGAACTCTGCGTTCACACATCCCATAGTTCACAAAATCAGACAAAGGAAGGTGACTAGAATCCAGCCCATTCCCCAAAGTACCTTCCATGGTGACTGACGTGTGGCTGTCCTTGGAGTCCTTGGGCCCCTTCACTTTGAGTTCCTGCCAGAGGGAGGAGAGGAATCACTACCTGGTCTGTTCACCTAGCCACCGCCACCACTGTGAACATGGCAGGAATGGGAACTCTGAAAGCCGGGAGTGCAAATAAGGGGAGACAAAGGAAACTCACGGAGTCTGCCTCTGCCTCACTACCTAGATTCCCTGGAGCCTCCTCGGTCCAGCAGTCGGGGTGTGGGCAAGAAAGGGGACTCTGGGTAGCAAGTCGGGACTGGTTTGTAGCAAACACTGCAGTTACAGGACTCCAGCAGACCCCGAAGCCCATTCACACAACGCTGCAGTCCTCCCTGAGAGTGAGTGCAGCAGGCACAGGTCTGCACCTGCTGCGATACCCCCAGCAGCCACTACTCAGGGTTATGCATACATCGAGCAGGGCACACAGGGTTTGAGTAACAGGAACCAGGTGTGCCAGCTGGTCCCTGGGGCTTGAACACGCTTGAGACGTGGAGGAAAGTTGTGCACACCTGGGGGAGGAGACCTAGTGCACAGGTGCTGAGCTCCACAGGGCAGTCTGTGCTACACCCTTCCCATACAGGGAGGACTCACTCACCCAGTCACCAGCCCACCTACACTCCCACCCCGTCTGTGCTGGACACCAGAGAGACTGCAAGGGAGGCAAAGCTACTAACAAGCATGCTGGAAAAAGACTGCATGGTCAGTTGAACCTCCTCTGTTTTAGAGGAAGAGGTGCTCCAGCTCGAACTCTTAGGAGAGGGAGGGCAGCTGCAACTGGAGCTGAAATGTAACCCCCACTTGGCAGAGGGGAGAGGAGTGTCCCCAGAAGACAGCCAGTGAGGCGAGTCCAAGGTCAGGAACCCAGGTGATACTGCCTGCTCTTCCTGGGGGGAGGTGGGGACACCCAGGCAGCAGGAGCTCATTTCCTACTCCTGTCTCCAGCTGTTTCTTGACAGAGAAAACCCCCAGGGACTGATTTGGGGTGTGTGAGGGGGGAGTCTCTCACTGGTGCTTGGATTCACTGGTGCTGGATTCCCAGCTTTAGGGAATTTTGTTCCACAGCCCCCTCCAGTGCAGCCTAGAGGTATGAAATCACTCCTGCTGCAGAGAAGGGCCTAATTGCAGTAATTAAGTGGCAGCGCTAGCAGGAAGCAATGGCCTCATCCTTGTCATCGTCATCGAGTGAGTCAGGATGAGCAGCTACCTGGCAGAGGGCCATGGGCCCAGCTCTGCCCTCTGGGATAGATGAGCACTGAGAGGGGCTTACAAATGGGTGCATACAACCTTCTGCTCACACAGAGAGAACCAGCAACCAGCCCAGGCTAAAGGAAACCCCATTCATTCTGAATCTTCTCTGGGCCGTATTGACCCTGGGCACCCAGGTAGCCATGGCAAGGCCACGCTGGACATAGATCAAGGGAGTCCAATTTGTTTCCAGGGAGGACTGGAAGCCATAAGGGGAAAGTACCATTCTCCAGCCTATGACCCCACCCCTCAGCAGAGAGACTGCCCTGCCCCCGAGCCTGTCCTTTGAGCAGAGGGTGACTCATCTGATCCATGAGTTTAGAAGAAACCAAGCTCAGGCCTCCTCTCTCTGCACCTTGACTTAGAGGGACAAACTCTGCCTCTTTTGTGGGAGGGCTCTGTGGCTTCCCATTCCTGCCAAGATCCAATAGATGTTACTTCCAGAGGGTCAGTGTCTAGCAGGTCCCATGTGGCTACTGACCCAAAACCACATGTTCCAACCCAGCTTTTTCTAATAATCAAGCTGACATTTTCACTTCTATCTGCCCAGCTCCTATGTGGCCTCTCAGCTGATTCCAAACTTGGGCATAACCAGGATCCCCAACAGATTCAGGAAACTGTCCTGTGTCTCACCAACTTTTCTGGCATCGGAGCTACCTTGGGGATCAAAGGATCAAGGGAATCTTTTTAAGGGAGGACCTCCAAAAATGCAGAAGTATCCCTACCTCCTCAGGGTTCCCTTCCCCTGAGCCTGGAGCTGAGGGCCTCCTACAGGGCCAGTAGCATAGGGATGCCACTGGGGTTGTTTTGGATAAAGAATGGGCTGGGCCATGTTCTTTAAGGATCTGAGAGCACCACCCCCTTCCTGCCACTTCTGGGATAGAAGTGCCAATGGCAGATGATGTCATATCTGTGTCCTGCATGTGGGGAAGGCTTAGTTGCACTAGCAAGAACAGCCATGTCCCTACCCAGAGGGTCCAAGGCTTCTCCCCATAACTGGTCCTTGCTGTTTCACTGTTTGTGAGATTGCAGAGTCTTAGACTTGGCAAGGATTTTAGAAGACAAACTAGGCTTCCTTAACTCTTCCTGATTGTAAAAATTACCCAGGAGGTTGTTAGAATAGACACCACCTCAACCCTTCTGAATCGGAAGTTCCAGGGAGAGTTCATGGAAATTTGTATTTTATTTGTTTTTGTTTTCTGAGACAGGGTCTCACTATGTAGTTCAGGCTGGTCTTGAGCTCACTATGTAGCCCAAGCTGGCCTTGAACTCACTGTGATCCTCCTGCTTCAGCCTCCCAAGTGCTGGGATTGGAGGTGTGCACCCCTACACCTGGCTGAAATCTGTATTTTAAACAATAATCTTATCAAGCAAGCTTGAGAAGCTGAATAAGTACAAGCAGCTCTTTCTATAGAAGAAACAAAGGTTAAGAGAAGGGAAATGATTTGCTCAAGGTCACCATGGCTTCTTGTTTCTTTCTCTATTCTTAAATGGGATTTTAAAAAAAATCAAACCAATCAATACTTTTATATTAAGAGGAAAAATGTCAGGTGCAAAAAGCAAATGTCAGGCCATATGTTACTCAAGAGGGCAGCAGATCTCCTGACTGCCAAGCAAGGGAGGAGACAGGTAAAAGCTGAAGGGCTCCAAGCCACTCCAGGAGCTCAGGGTTGGTGGGCTACGCAGGGAGCTGCCTACCTCTGAGATCTTCTGGAATTGGTTGTTGGACTGACTGCATTTCTCAGCTGTCTCCAGAGCGACTTTATAGTTATCCACGAATGCTTTGTATACACCAAGCTGGCTGGCCTGCAGAGAGGAGACAGAGAATGCAGAGAGAGGAAGGTGGGAGTGGGAAGGGAAGAGGATTAATGAATGGATGAAAGATTAACCAGAGTTCCTGGAGCTCCCGTAGCACTCAGAACCTCTAACTCAGCTCCAAAGGGATTGCTGGGAACGAGGGGAAAGGCAGGGATGAACATACTACGGTATCCCTTTGAACTGGACAGTTTCCATGGAAACTGGTTCAGCCAATAAGGTTAACAAGTGGGGTACTTGCGGGGAGGAGAGCAGGGCAGGCTTTGTTGGCATGCCAGAAATTCACACATCACATTTGGCTTTCTTAGCTTTCTGCAGTGACAGTATCGTAGCCAATGAGGCTTATCCTAGGCGTGATTATTGCTAATTGAAACATTTGGCTTTCTTTAGCATTATGAAGGTCTCACAGGGTTTGCAGTCACTTAATGTCTCACACCTCTTTCGCACCATGGAATTACAGCACAGGGAGACAGGGAAGTGGCTCAATGCCCCATCCTTCATGCTGAGTGTAGAACACAACATTTAAAGGGACCCTTGGGTACCTGTCCCTGCCTCCTTGCCTGTAAAGAGCCAGAGCCCTTGCCACACTACACTCCTGCATATCACCTGGAAACTAGTACAGCTCTAGACTTGTGACCACAAAGAGCTTACTTCCTCTAGGAGGCAGGGCAGATCCCATCACTCCTTTCTGTAAAAGGGAAACCAGCTGGGGTGTGGTGGTACAAACCTGTAATCCCAACATTGGAGAGGCCGAGGCAGGAGGATCACAAGTTTGAGGCCAGCTTGGGCTATACAGTGAGTTCAAGGTCAGCATGAACTACATAGTCAGACCCTGACTCAAAAAATAAAAATTATTTTTTCCAAAAAGGGGAAACCAGGGCTGAGGATTTAGCTCAGCAGTGCAGCCACCTTGCAAGCACAAGGGCCTGAGTTCAATCCTGAGTTAAAAAAAAAAAAAAAATTTGGGCCAGGGATTTAGTTCAGTGGTTCTACAACCTGCCTCACAAGAACAAGGTTCTGAGTTTGATCCCTGCTACCAAAAACAAACAACAAACAAACAAAAAAGGGGAAATCAAACCTCACTAATGTCTCAAATATTTATGGCAAAAAAGACAAAAATTTATGGCAGGCCTCCTCCAGGCTGTATTTATATATTTCCTCCTAAGGGGTCAGAGGGTGGAAATTCAAATTAAAGCTATAATGAAATATATTTCATACCCATTAGAAACATCAAAACTTAAAAGTCTGATGATATCAAAGGTTGGCAAGAATGTGGGGAAATATGAACAGTTCCAGCCTGCTTGTAGATCTAAGTTAGTACAATTACTTGGAAAGTAACTAGTCAATAACTAATAAGGCTGACCATAGGCACAGCATGTCTGTTGCTTGGCAAATCCATTTCTAATGCAAACCACAGTACTGCACTATCCAAGAGCTATGTGTGGCTACTGAACACCTGCAATATGGCCAGTGCAAAATGAAAGGTTCCATACGTAAAGAGGATGTAATTAAATGACACTGTTAGTTTTTTAAATTGATTACATGCTGAAATGATAGACAAAATATAAAGTTAATTTCATTTTTTTCCCCCTGAGGCATGGGCTTGTAATATTGCCCAGGCTGAATTAGAATTTCTAGGCTCAAGTGATCCTCCTGTTTACACACCATCCAAGTAGGTGGGAATATAGGTGTGCACTACACACCTGGCTTCACCAATGTTTTTTTGGTTTGTGGTACTACTGGGGAATAAACCCAAGGCCTTGGACATATTAGGGAAGTGTTCTGCCACTGAGGTACATTCCTAGCCCTATTTTTACTTTTTAAAAATGTGGTTACTACTAGGGTCAGGGATGTAGGTCGGTGGTACTGCACCTGACTGGCAAGTGCCAAGTCCTGAGTTTGATCCCTGGTACCAAGAAAAAAAAAAAAAAGAAAAGAAAAATGAAAAGAAATGTAGTTCCTGGGGCTAGGGCTATACATAAATGATTAAGCACTTGCTTAGCACACTTGTGACTCTGGGTTTGATTCCTAGCACCATCAAAAGTGGAGGGGTGTGCTAGAACATTTAAAACTATACATGTAGCTTATGACTTCTTTCTATTTGATAGCATTACTCTTGAAAAAAACCTACATATGTATGTGCCCTACAATATTCAAGCAAGGGTTCTCACTGCCTCCCTCTTCTTTGTGGTGGAAGGGCTAGAAACCAATGTTCATCAATATAGGAACACAGACACGCTACAGTTAAGATAAATAAACTAGAGTTATGTGTAGCGACACCAGCATGTTTCAAAGCAAACAGTGACTGAACTGCAAAATGTGACATACAGAAACATATGCACGGTTTAAAGTACATGCAATGTCATAAAAAGAGAGATATGTAGTAAAAATACAATCTGTACTGTACAAGTCTACCCACTAAATTCATAGCAGTAGCCATTTCAAGAGAAAAGGGGAAGGGAAGGGGAGACTTCCCCTTCATCTGAAATAATTTTTTATGTTGTTATTGTTGTTGTTTTTTGCAGTACTGGGAACTGAATTCATGGTCTCATGCATGCTAGGGCAAGGGCTCTACCACTAACTGAGCTTTCTTCCCAGCCTTCATTTTTTCTAAATTTTATTTTGAGACAGGGTTTCACTAAGTTGCCCAGGCTGGGCTTGAGCTTGTGATTCTCCTGCCTCAGATTCCCACTATGCTGGCATTACAGACATGTGCCAATACACTTGGCTGTAATATTTTATTTTTTTGATTGGAAAGTCTTGCCAGGGTTTAGGAGGGTAGTTCAGTGGTAGAGCACTGTCTAGCATGCCCAGGGCCTTAGGTTAGATCCCAAGCACCATCAAAATAAGTAAATTAATTGGTATTCATCTTCCAAGTTTACATTTATTAATTCTGGGAGATATGTACAAAGTTGTCTAGTTGTTATCTCTAGATTTTCTAGTTCAAATTTTTGTTCAGTATGTAGCAAAGGGTGTAGCTGTTGCCAGGTTTCCTCAGGGGCTTCTGCTTCCTGCTAAAGTGCTGACGACAGTGTGCTGCCCCTCCGCCTCACTCCAGCCCACTCTGCTCCTTGCAGAATCTTTGTATTTCTCAAGGATAGAAAGAGACTGGGCAGGGGTCCTGGGTGAAATATCATGCTGTCAGGAGACAGAGCCCTTGGTGGAAGCTGGTGGGGGTAGGAGACAGAGAAGCTAGGTAGAAGAGTGAGAATTGGGATATCTGGAAAGCAGTGAAGTCCAAGGGACCAGACTTTCCAAACAGAAAGCTCTTGAGCAAGAGGCAGGGCAGATGGAGTCTGTCTTTTTGCAGAAGAGTACTGGCCATCAGTGGCCCAAACTACAGGAGAGGTGCTAGACAGTTGCTTCCTAAGCTAGAGTACAAATCATAGTCTTCTTCCAGGAAAAGGTTCTGTGGCGCCCATTCCCATCCAGAGAGTAAATCCTGAATGCCTGGGGTGATATGCTACCCTCTCATGGGCCAGGAGTGGGAGCCACCTGTACAGATGCCTGTGTACAGACAGGGGTCATGGGCACTGCCATCTCTAGTCACCCTAGGGCTGGCAGCCTGAGGCCCAACCTGCTAAATTCATTAACTGGGAAGCAGAGGTTGCCTGGAAACAGCAGCTTGGCACTGGAGTGATGTCATAAAACAAAGAGCAGAGATGCTAATTTCCTTCTCTTGGTAATGAATAATCCAATACCCGAGACTTTAGCTGGAAATAAACTGTCTCCAGATGCCTGGCCTGCCCTGGCTCCACCTAGGGCCTTACCAGACCTGTAACCTTGGGGCCTCAGACATCAGTTCATGGCGCTGGGTTTGGGTAGTAAATTCATAACCAGGCCTGTGGAGCCGAGGCAAAGACAGGAGACCCTGGTGATGAAGATACAACAGGATGGCCTTTCCACTGTGCTCTGTCTGCTCACTCTTCCACCCTGGTTTGCTCTCTTTTGCACTTCTGAGGGCTCAGGAGAGGCTGCCCCATGAGCCAATCAGCTCAGGTTCCAGGGACCAGAAAGGGACAATGGGGTGTTCATCATTAGTGCACTTGGGGAAGAATCTGGGTCCACCAAAACCAGAAGTGTGGTATTTCCTCAAGACATTACCTCCTGGACGCCTTTCCCTACTAATAACAGTAATAATAACAGTAACAATAGCAGTAAAGATGATGGCTAACTGTCGAGCATTTATAATTTACGACCTTGCAGGACCTGCTCCAAGTACTTTTCAGGTACTAACTCACTCACTCCTCCCAACAATTCATAGTCGGTAAATGTCATTATTATTCTCATTCTACAGATGAAGAACCTGAGTTACAGAGAGGTACGGTAAGCTGTGACAGAGCTGAGATTCAAACCCAGTTGAGACCTGGCTCTAAAAGCTGTGGTTCATCAACATATGCACACCCATGTTTACAGTAGCACAACTCATAATAGCTAAATCTTGGAAACAGTCCAAATGCCCATCAACCTATGACTGGATAAAGAAGAGGTGTTTTTTAAGTACAATGGAGTACTGCTCTGCCATAAAGAAAGATAAACTCGAGACATTTCTAGGTAAATGGATGCACCTTGAGACCATGCTCTTAAGTGAAATAAATCGGACCCACATATTTAAATGTTGCATTTCTTCTCTGGTGTGAGAAACCAAAAGGGTAAATAAGGACCAAAATGTGTAACAGATATTGGGAAATAAGAAAATGTTCAAATAGGAAGGGGAACAAGGGAGGGCGGAGGAGGAAACTAAGGAAGGAAAGAAGAAAAAAAAAGAATAGAAGGAAAAAATTGAAACAAAGCTTTTGTAAATAAGGAGGAAGAGGGGTTAAAGGAAGGAGAAGGGATTGGGGATAAAGAAGAATCAAGATATATTATGTACAGGTACAAATGCCCTATGATGAATATGATCATTATGTATATCTAAAATGTACAAAAAATTAATTTTAAAAAAGCTGTGCTTATTCACATAACACTGCTAATCTTTTTTTTTTTTTTTTTTTTTTTTTTGTACAGGGATCAAACTCAGGACCTTGTGCTTACAAGGCAGGCGACAGCACCACTGAGCTAAATCCCCAGCCCAACACTGCTGATTTTAAAACAAACAAAAAAAACCCAAAACAAAACTAAGTCCTCAGGACACAGATGTCTCTTTCAAGGCCAAGGCTCTTCCTAGATCCAATGCGCAAGGTCATGCATGATTGGTTCATTCATTTATTCATTCATTCACATATTGCCCGCTGGGCTGGCTCTGGGGGTGCTTAATGAGAAGAAAATAGTTTATCTTTATGGTTTTAGAAAGACAGGCAGTTCTAAGTGCTTGCTCAAGATTAGCACAGCGGGATAGGGAAGACTCCTCTGAAGAGGTCACTTCTAAACTGGGAACTGACCAAGAGAAGCCAGATGGGGTGGGGAAGCCACTTTAGCCAGATGGAGCCATGAGTATGCAAAGGTCAGAAAGTGCAGAGTGAACTGAGAGGAGAAAGTTCTGCATCAGTGGGCACAGAAGGTTGGGGAGGCAGTAGCCAGAGGCCAGGGGTGGGCAAAGGTCAGCATCCAAAGAGAGGTGGGTAAGGAAGGGGGAAGGACAAGGAGAAGGCAAGGGAAGGTCGGGGGGAGAAGAGAAATAGATTCTTTGGGACATGGGAGTAAGGGAGACGGGAAAGAGGTAGGACAGGTTGGGGAGGGGAGGGTGTCAAGCATGACTCCAGGAACCTCACTAGATACAGATAGGAAGAGCAGCAGGTAACTTCGGAGACAGTGAGTCCAGTTTTGAACATGCTGAGCTCAAGGCCCAGAAGTGTCTAAGCAGGAGTCTCTTCCAGGGTGAGAAACACAGAGCCCTGTCCATTCAGCTAGTCTCAGCACAGGGAAGGAAAAGCAAGGCACTGCTCTCTATCCCCACAGTAATTCACAGCCAGGGAAAAGAAGAACAGCTCCTGGCTCCCAGTCCACTTTGTTCCTGCTGGGTTGTTAGAAGTGACAGCGGAAGTCCAAGCAAGAGCTGGGTGAGGTATCTGTGGGTCTGACCTGGGTGTTCCTCCAGAGGATACGCAGGCAGAGACAGGATAGGATGTGTTGTAGAAGCCCTGGAAACTAGATTTCTGCAAGTGTCTCTCAACAGTAAGTCAGTACCTCAATTTTATTCCTCAAACCCTTTCCCTTTCCCTACAGCAGCAAGCAGAGATGGGCTCTCAGTGCCATCTGCTCTGGGACCTCAGGAGATGACCATTAGGTGAGGCAGTCTCTACCCAGCTGCTCCATCTTACAGAGGAAGCACAGGGATGTAGAGAATCCCTGAGGTCTTGTGTGAGCAATGTTTGCCCTCACCCAGTCTGGCACATTCCTCTCTGTCCATAGTGGGACTGGGGACTCCAAGCCCAGGAGGGAGGCTTCATTCCAGCATAGGTGCAAGGAGCCTCTGTGGAGAGAAAAGCAGACTCTTCCAGAGCATCCATGGACCCACATCCCCACCATCCTTGGAAACACTATTAGGGCTTCACCAGGCTGGAGTCAATTCCTTTTATTCTGATGCCCCATAAAGCAGAGGCCCAGATGTGTTGCCAGGACCCAGGGATGACCCAGGCCTTCAAGGATGCCAGGAGAGTGGGAGCTGACCAGTCCTCTCCCAAAGCCCTCCTCTGACACCAGCAGCTCCAAGCTCTGCATGAGGATGCTCTCTTGTAGGAGACTCACCAGCTTCTGGAAGAGGTGGCCCATGGTGACTTGACTGTCCCACTGCTGCACCTTGGGGCAGAGGTTGTCGTAGAACTCCTTGTGGATCTCATAGATGTCCTGGATCTTGTAGAAGATGGTCTCAATCTGCTGGATTGTGAGCACGGGCTGGGAGGTGGTGGCTGTGGCCTTTAGAGGTTTCATGGGCTGGGAGAGGAAGAAGAAGAATGAGCAGAGGTGGGAGGTGAATAAACCAGAATTCCAGCAGGCCCAGGGCAGATTTTGGCACTGATTAGTACTTTGAGCTGCCTAAATCCTGCCTAGACAAGGCCACTAAAGGCAAGGTGCCTGAAATGTGGTTGGTATCTCGGAGCTGTCATCACAGCCTTATACACAAGGAGGGGAAACCTGACAGCCAGGACGTGGCCCTCAAGCCAGAGTTCACCAAAGCCCCCACTTGAGTTCACAGCACCCAGCACACAGCTATAAGGGTTCACTGGTCCATTACAAGACCCGTGTCTCTCTTTCACAAAGGCCTCATGCCCTGAATCATAAGCTGCCTCATCACACTTCAGAGGAAGGGAGGGTTGTCTGGGAAGCCAACTCCTTAGCTATTTCCTTTCAAAAAACAACAGGTAGATCCAGGACTCAGGGGGCAGAGTCTTGAAAAATCTCAAGACCAGTTCAGATTCATTGATAATTCAGGTATCTGTCACTTAGCACAAGGACAGGAGCAGGTAACCCACACACCACCTTCCTATCTCCCAAACCCACAGCAGACACTGCTAAACGACCATGATGATCTTTTCCACTGCGTGTGGTTGTAGTCTCAGACACTTTCTCACTGCCTGAGTTGACTTGAAAGTGAAACCTATCTGTCATCTGCTTGTCTACACCAAGATGTGCCAGGGCCTGCACTTGGAAAGGTGAGGTGACAGACTACCTCAGGCCCAGCCCCCAGCACTGTCTGGGATAGTGGAGTGTGGGTGCACTTTCTTCGGTGTGAACCTTCACATTTTTTAATCACTTATAATAAAGCTGGGCACAGTGGCCTATAGTTCCAGCTACTGGGAAGGCTGTGGTGGAAGGATCATTTGAGTTGGGAATTTGAGATCAATTTGGGCAATGCAGTGAGACACCATCTCAAAATAAACAAATGAATAAATAAAAATAAATCTACAAATACTAAGTATTACTTCTATAATCAGAAAAGCCCCAAAGATGCCCAGACTGTACTACAGAGTCCCGACAGGGGACAGAATCCAGAAGCGTCATAGAGAGAAAGCATGGGAGAGGAGAGCATACTTTCCTGGTAGCAAGAAGTCTGCAGATATGGCTGGTGTCCTCCTATATAGGCCCCTTATGGAAAGTGGCCTTAGAGAGTCTGTGTTACTCTACAGACCCAGAAGCAGCAGGGAGAAGCTGGGGGTCAGGTCTGGGCTTCGAATAAGAGAAGTATTCTAGCAGGGAATGGGCAACCTGACTGCTAAAATGCTGGGCTGCTGGGAACACCCATACTGAGGGAGACCAAAGCCATTGTTCTCTATGAGCCAGCCAGACTCACAGCCAAGCTTCCTTCTATCCTCCCTGTGATAGTGGCAGAGCCCAAGCGTGTCCACAAAGAAAGCCTCCTTTCCTTACATACGTAGACAATGCTCCAGTGACTGGCTTCCCTGTTCTCTAAACTTTTCAGAGTCCAGGTAAAATAATAAAAGCATGGAAAAGCAGACCCTCTCCAGTAAATCCTCACAGTATTAGAAATGAGTGACCCTCAGCATCCAGTTTTTGCTTGGAACAGTTGGGGTTGAACCTGGAACAGGCCAGGCAGCATGGGTCTGAGTCCCAACTCTGACACTGAATTGCTGTGGGTTAAGTCACTTGCTACCTCTGGGCTTAGCATCACCAGTAGCCTCATTTGTAAAAATGGGATAGTACTACCCTCTCAGGAGAACCAATGGGAAAACCAAAAGATTTTATATAAAATATCTGTATATGCCTGGCACACAGATAAATGTTAGCTGCTAGTTTGTTGTTTCTGAGACAGGCTCTTGCTATGTAGTTCAGGCTGGCCATGAACTTACTATGTACCCCAGGCTGGTTTCCAACTCACAGCAATCCTCTTGCCTCAGCCTCTCAAGTGCTGGGATTAGAGGTGTGTGCCATCATGCCTGCCTCAGCTATTACTATTATTACTATCCACCCTGAAAATAATGCACTAAGTGCCTAACATGAGGCCAGACTTGGGAATTCAGTAGTATATGACACACACATAATCCCTACCCCCATCAGATGTCCCGTCTAGGAGACAGATAAAACGCAAATATACAAATTAAACAATTAATTGCAGCAGTAAGTGAAATGAAGGAAACAAGGATGGAGAGATGGAGTGGTGAAGGACAGCTTCTCCAAGGAAGAGAGATTAATGGAAGTCAAGGGTGGTGCTAAGATTCCAGGCCAACTTCCTACAGGCCTAGTCCTGAGGCTTGGTGATAGACAGAAGCGGAACAATGCCAGCGGGCCTAGGTACAGCTGGAAAGGGGGAAGGAGAGGAGCCTGCGGCAGGACTGGATGGATCATGGACCCTTGGGGTGGGGTGGGAATCATGCAGGGGAAGGAGTGTGGCTTTGACTGTGCAATTTATTATGCAATGAGCCAGCTTTTCCTGGAGGGTTTTAGGCAGGGGAGTGAGGGCGATCTGATATTCAGATCATTTTTATGAACCATGATCTCTGCTCTTGAGAACTTTGTAATTTATTTGAGTAAAATAGACCAGCACAAATGAAACAACTTAGTGGACAACGTGAGATAAAATATTACCCAACTTGGACTAAATATCAACCTAGTGGTTCCAAGGTTGTGCTTTCAAAGTGGTTTCAAGGTGTAGCTCAGGGAGGTTTTGCCGAGGAGGTAGACAGGCATGGAGTCTTGGAGGTTGGGGAGATCTGAGCAGGTGGAGGACTGGGGGCTGGGTAAGCATGCAGGCAGGGAAACAGAGGGAACCAGGAGAAAGGGCACCCTGCTCCTCCAGGTGAAAGAATACTCAGAGCCCACACAAGAGGGGCTCAAGCTTCCCCAGAGTTCCAGGACCACTCACTTGTCCTTATCCCTGTCTAGATGCATCCCCAACATGGAAGGAGTAAAGGAAATAGGAGGGAGCAGTCTCAGGAAGACAGAGAGGACAGGCTTTCTCAGAAGCTGCTGGGGAAGCAAGCACTCATTTGCCACCTACACAAAGACAAGGCACAACAGCTCTGCTTCCTCCTCAACTTCCCACTCTGTCTACAAAAGGGGAAGAAAAGGACGCTCACCAGCAGCCAGTCACATGGACAGGCCACACTGGGGGCAGTGGATGTTCTCACAGAAGATTGAGGACCTTTGCTGTTAGCCCTGATTTTACAGGAGGAGAGAAGAAAGGGCTGGCCCTGGTCCTTAAAGGCAGTTATTTTTATCTGGTAAAGCCTCACATACAGGCCAAGACAACCTCACAGAGCTTTGACCCAGCCCTAATGCTCTGCCCTAGAGCTAGCACAGGGGTTACTCCTCCCTCCTCCTGTATCCTGCTACAGAGGGTGAGGATAGACCCTGGCTATCACTCCATCTGGGAAGAATTGCAGAGACCAGCCCCAACTCTGGCTCTGGATTGTCCCACCTGAGTGCTTCTCAGGAAGATGTGGCTAGGTCAGTTCTGACTTCGTACAGCCATAACTGCTTTGTCCCCCCAGCAAATGATCTTTCAATATAGGGGGAAGAAACCTGTCCACTTCCTCCACCTCCTCCCAAGAAAGCCTGGTGGCTTTCAGGTGCATTTGCTAACCTATCACTTTAGTAGCTCAGGGAGGAGGTATTTTTAACTTATTTTACAGATAAGAAAGCTGAGATACAGACAGACTCTGAAGTCCAAGCAAACTGCAAGAATGAGAGCCTGGGAGAGGAGAGCCAGTTGGGGCCAGCTGTGGCCATCATGGCCTAGTGGTACAATGTGTGGAGGGTAATAGGCCCACACTGGGGGTCCCAGCACAGACAACATGGAGAACCACAGCCACTGCCCAGAGCCTGGGAGATGCGGGATTACTCTGCATTTGGTCTTCTCTCTTTTCCTTAGTACCCACCTTGGCCCCCACTTCCAGACCTCACTTGCAATAGGAATACAATAGGAACCCAGAGAATTCCAAGAGATTACTAAACCTGGCCCTAGTCAGCACAAGGGGCCAGAACCGAGACTCCTATCTGACTTTGTGTGTGTGTGCCTGTACTGTATTAGGTGCACACACCCAGTCCTTTGCATATCAGGAAGTATTAATGGGAAGGCAGACATGCACATTAGGAGCAGAGCTGTGGGAATGGAGTCAGACGGGGAGCAAATGCGGAGGGGCGAGTTTCTTTTCCTCTGAACCAGAACACCCTCGGTTCAGGGAAGAGGGAGGAGTCTTTATCTCTGAGATTTACTTTTGTGCCGAAGGCTGTGCAGGCTCCTGCCCACCTTCCTGAGCCTTCCAGGTACATAACTAACCCTATACTGCCCTCCTTATGCCTCCCTCAGTCTCTGTTCTAGAAAGAACCAGGCAGGAGCCTGCCCTGAGGCACCTCAGGATGGGGAGGCTGTGCCTCAGAGCTGTGCCTTAGGGGCATGAGGGTGGAAACACTAGCTTGGCCCTTAGATCTGCTATCTTTGCCAGAAGAGAAGACCCAAGGAAGGCAGGTGGGAAGTCAGGAGTGGCAGGGGGACAGACACCTCCCCTCCCTTTCCTTCAGGGAAAGGGAGTGTTGCAGAACAAAGAGGCCCTAACCTGCCTTTCTCTGCCAGTGCTGGAGAAAATAACAGTGTCACATAGCACTCAGGTTCTGTTCTAAGAGCTGTACAAACAAATTCACACAATCTGCACAACGGCCGGAAGAAGAGAGTACTATTTGTGCAACCAATGCAGAGAAAATGAGGCACAAAAGCTCATTCACCTGCTAAGGGTTGAGAGTTAACTAGCAGGCAAGGGTGACTAACAGCCAGGCAGTCTGGTTCCATTCAGACATCCTGCTAGTGGCAACAACTGTGCCCCCTCTTTTGGTACAACTCTGCATCCTTTTTTGTACCCACAATTGATAAGGTCAGCTTCACATAAGTCTGGTTGTCTGCCTGCCTCCTTCCTCCAGCTAATATTTGAATTTCTTGCGTACTTGGCATTGTGCTAGGTCCCAAATGATCACCTGATTTTCTCAACTCAGGAAGGAAGTCACTGATATTGCCACTGTTCTTCCTCACCAAAATTTCAGTTACCTGTGGTCAAACCTAGTCTGAAAATATTAAGATTTGCTTGACTCTTCAAGACAGGCAAGTCAGGCATGGTGGAGCACACCTGCAATCCCAACTTCTGGCAGGCTGAGGCAAGAGGGTCACAAGTCCAAACTCATTCTGGGCCCTGGGTTCAGTCCCTAGTACCACACCAAAACAAGTAAAACACATGCTCATATAACTTTTATTATAGTATATTGCTATAATCATTGTTGATCACTTATCCCTAATTTACATATTAAATCTTGTCATAGGTTAGATCTTAAAAGTTCTTCAAAAGCACATGTGTTGAAAGCCTGTTCCCTAATGCAACAATATTCAGAAGTGGGGCTTTTGAGAGGTGACTGGATCATGACGGCTCCAACCTCCTCAGTGGATTAATCCACTGATGGATTCATACTGTAATGGGTTTGGGTTTCTCTCTTTTTTCCTTCCTCCCCCTTCCCCCCGTCCACCCCTACTTTTCCTTCTGCTTCCTGGCTACCTTGACATAAGCATTTTTACTCAACCATATTCTCTTCTACCACAGATCCAGAAACAATGGAGTCCAGCAACCATGGACTGAAACCTCTGAAACTATGAGCCCCCCAAAAAACAACTCCCCTTCTGTAAGTTGATTCTCTAAGGTATTTTGTCACAGTGACTGTGTGTATACATAGGATTCAGAACTATCTGAGGTTTCAGGCATCCACTGGGGTCTTGAAACAGATCTACTACTAGAGTTCCAACTTTAGAAAAGGAAACTAAAGATCAAGGAGTTTATACTTAGCTTTCCAAAGACAGTGGTTTTCAAACCCATATCATATGAAAGAAATAATGTAGCCCCTGTACACACATACACACACACACACACACATGTACATACAACAGCTAAGAGTCCTGAAACAGTACTAAATATTAAATCAACTAAGGAGTTGAGCCTTTACAGTTTGAAAAAACAGTGCAGTGTGTCTACTATTAACAGCAGAGTAAAGTCTTGTCCTACCTAGTCTGGCCTCATACTGGAATCTTCCTCTATCTGCCATTCTGTCCTTTACTTGGAAAGCATTACTGTGCATACCAATAAGCTTCCTATGACGTTCTAACATAAACTCAGCCCAGTGCACTGCAAAGTATCTTCACATTTTGATAGTCAGTGCCTGACTAATAAATATCAAGTCCCCTGGGACACTTGAGTGACAAAGTGTTATGTCATGGCAATTATGCAAATGTGTACCTTACTTGTAAGAATGGGTTTCTACTGATCAACATTTCCATTTCTGAGTCCCCCTTTTCCTGATAGTGTCTTGTGCTTCAGACTGCAAAACACTCAGAGCAAAGAACTTTACGTGCCGTGATCACTCTGCATAATATCCAGACGCATCTAATAAGCACTTTCTTCCAAAGCAAAAACATCTTACATCTGTGTAGTACTTTTATCTTTGGAAAGCATTTCAACATTCCTTTCCCACTCTGATTCTCACAATGATGCCTCCCTCCCTGTTAGAAAGGACTCTGAGAAGGTCTCTTTACCAAGGGCACCTCAGAACTATGGTGCTTCTCAACACAGACTTTTCCAACCCACATTTCTTGACATGAGCCCTTTAAGATGCAGACCATTAGGTCTGCTTCCCCAGGGAAGAGCAAGGACTTGGACTAAATAATTTGATCAGAAGAGACTCCCCAGAACACAGTGGGGAGGAGACAGCTGCGCATCCACCTGCATAGAATACCTTACTGAATAGTAATTCTGACGCCATGGTCATGGGTAAAGGGAGTGTCTGTCCTCCCTAACCTCTGCTGCTGCTTCTGCCCTTCCCAGAGCAAGAGCTGAGAGCACATGTTGCTTGATGCCCAGCTATAAGGACAGCATCACCAATCTCTGTCAGATGTTAGGTCACATGCAGGTCCCCCTTCCTCTCCAACCTCAAAAGCAGTTTTAGAGTGTGCCACTGGCCAACAGGGAAACCAGGAGGTCCAGAGCAGATACTCACCAGCAAGAGGGCTTCCAGCTGATTGATATAAATCTCTTCACTGGCCAGGAAGCCTGAGAGGACCAGCTTCCTCATCTCCAGACCTTTCCCTGCCTCCACCTGCAGGAAAGCAAACCAAAGCCAATGTCTCATAAGAAAGATGCCAAAAGCCCAAGAGCCTATTTCCTCTGCTTTTTTCTTCTTTTAATAACAATTTCAAAAGGAGTAAAGCCAAATATTATTTCAGAAAATGTGGAAAAAACAAAGATCTAGAAGAAAAGATAAATACTCATATTCCTGTCGATATCTTTTATCCCACATCCTTTTATCCACATTTCCTTGTCTTACATTCATTCATCCATCCACCAACCTAATGGTGAACAGGAGAACAGGGAAGAGGGAGTGAGAACTTTACAAAGGAAAATCAATCACGACCAAGGCAGGGCACGGTCACATGGGAGGTGGTCCCCAGAGGAAGTGATGTTAATATAAACCGAAAGTTAACAGGGACAGAGAATGGGGTGGAAGTGGATGTGGCCACTTCTGATGAGATCTTCCTGCCCCCAGGGGGCTCAATCCTGCAAAAGAAGATGTCAGTGTGGGTTGATCAAGCTTACCTCAGGAACCCCTCAGCACTTCCTCACCAAGCAAACCACAGACCCAAGCCAGCCTCTTCCCACTCCTGAATTCCTGCTGCTCTATGGCGGAGCTCACGTCCTTCTTAGCTTTGAATGCCCCTTTGCCAGCCCAGTGCCCAGCACACAAAAAACACTTCCCCTCTCTTTGCAGTACTGAAGATTGAACCCAGAGTCTTCACACTGAGCTATACCCTCACCCCGTTTTTATTGGAGATAAGGTCTTGCTAAATCTCTGAGTTGCACAGTCGCAAAATTGTCATCATCTTGCCTCAGCTTCCCAGAGTACTTGGATTACAGGTGTGCACTACCACACCCAGCTCCAAATTTTTCTATACTGAAAAAAATGTATCATTTTATTTTGGATCTTCATGAGTCATTCCTGGCCCCTCTTTCCTTGTCTTTCCTTTCCGTCTGAGACATTTCAAAGCTTCTTTGCTAATCTCTTACATCAATTCTTCCCTTCACTCCCACCCTCTTGTCTGCAGCCTGGATTCTCCTAATTGATCTCTACCTCCCTCTCCTTGCCCATCCATTCACAGCAGCCAGATCAGAATAGTACCTGGTACCTACCTAATGCTTGTCAAGGGCTTAATATTAATACTGAAAAAATTGATTAGGTTATTTGTTCACTTGTCTATTCATTCAGCAAATATTTCCTAAATATCCCAATAGGCTCTGTAGATACAATGGGAAAAAAAAGCAGACAATAGTCTCTTCTCTCATGTGGCTTATAATCTAACAGGAGAGAAAATCAAGTAAATACACAACTGTCAGGCCGGGGATTTAGCTCAGTGCCACCATACTTGTCTTGCAAGCACAAGGTTCTGAATCAATCCCAAGTACCAACCTCCCCACCAAAAACCCCCCAAAACACAACTATCATCTGTGATACGGGGACCACCATATCCTTTACTTAAACACCTGTAGTGCCCAGTACCTCTGTACATTTCCAGGCTTCTCTGCACACCGGAGTGTTCAGCCTTTGAGCTTTCGTACTAGTGCTCCTACCCAATGCCTCTCTCCCAGTTTTTCTCTTGGCCAAATGCCACCTTTCCTAGATGACACAGCTGGAGTCCTTTTTTTTTTTTTTTTGGTACCAGGGATCAAACTCAGGACTCTGTGCTTGCAAGGCAGGCGGCAGCACCACTGAGCTAAATCCCTTGTCCAAGTCTTATCTCTTCTTCATGGTGCTAACCTGCAGCTGCAACACCTCAGGATCTGATGTGCATGGTACCTTGTGACAAGTCTAGAAAGTTCATGAGGCCTCTGCTGGAATTCCACCCCAGATCTTCTAACACCAAATTCTTTCTTTCACTGCTCTGATGACTTCTTCACTCTTCCATAGCTTTTTCAAGCATTGGCAGTTGTCTGTTGTCTCAAATAGGTCCCTTGTAAGAGTCAAGTGCACACACTTATCAGATAGGAGAGTATATGAAGCCATCAGAAATCTTGTAAGTCCCAGAGAAAAACTGCTTTTCCTCAGTTGTACCACCTGTCTCCAGTGTGTCCTCATAGGCCTTTCTAAGCCAAATTCTTTCCACCCCTTGCCTCCCATCAGCAACCCACTGGTAGATCTGTCTAGAGGCTGCTGCCCCCAAAGTCTTATATGACCCTAAAGGAGAGAACGGTGACTCCCCAGAGATGTCCACACTTTTCTTTCTTTTTTATTTTTTTTTCAGATGCCCACATCCTAAAACCTGTGAATATGTTCTTTTAAATGACAAAAGAAACTCTGCAGATATGATTAAACTTGAGATGAGGGAGATTCCTGGGTTACATTTACTCTGAAATTTTAGCTGGGGTTGGGGAGGGTCATTGGACAATTTAAAAATGTGAAATTAAACTGTGCACATTTTACTAACAAGAGGCCTGTTGCTCAGTTACTATCCAAGACTTCTGCTTTTCCCAGACCCCACATGTTCCGGATTTAGAATTATCTGGAAATTCACAACTATTTCTTCAATCCTTGTGGTGTGATTTTTGTCTCATGAAACACCAGAGCTCAACATTCACTCATTCATTCCTTCTGCACTACATGCTAGATGGTGGGAATTCAAAGATGAAGGAGATAACTTCTGTCTCCAGCAAGCTCTAGGGATGTCTCTGTGTCCAGATCCCATGGGCAAGTTCTATGAAGAGGTTACGGCTCTTGCAGCCTCTGCCATGCTGCCAGACACTTCCCAGCAAGGAAAGCTGCCTTCCAAATGGCATTGTCCCCTCTTCCTCTCCAAGCAGAGCTTATGAAACTCAGCCCTGTTGGACTTGCTCATCCCTGGCATTTCACAAATTCTGTAAGTCTGAAAGTTTGTCAGCTTGAGACCCCCAAGTCAAAGCCATGAGTTAGAGTATGACAGTAAGGATAATGTCTTTGTCAGCTCTGGTCCGGGCTTCTGCAAAACTGAGGGGCTAAATAAAAGTTCCAATGGTTTGGTTCTAGTCCAAGACAAGAAATAATCTCTCCAGGGACCTTGATCTCTACCAAAATAACAGGGAGCACTGAACAGGCAGGACTGGCTCTCTAACTACGCTTCAAAGCCACAGGCCAGGCAGTAAGGGTCTGTAACTCTGCAGACAGCAAATTCGGGTCATGGGTACACTAGCTGGCAAGAAGCACCCAGCAGAATCTTCCCATAGTACCTGCCACTGAATCTGCAGATTGTGCCCATGCCCAGGGACATACACCCAAGCATCAATCTCAGGACATCTGTCCATTCTCTGAGCCTAGGTAGTGCAGGAACATGCAGAAATTCTCTCCTCTTCCCAGCGCTAGGCACTGGGCAGGTCTCTTTTGCTATTTTGTCAGCAGAATTTAGAGTGGAGAAGATAGGGGTTGGAAATGAAGATCAAATTCTAGCTGCCTCCCCTCCATCTGGCTCCCTGCTGTTGTATAAATCTTTAGGTAAGGCCCATGGGATCCAGGCAGTGTTTCAGAACCTCACTGGTTCATCTTCTACCTACACAGCTTTGCCCTATTCACATACCACTTAATATCTCTATTTGCAACAATTGACTTATAAGCACAGCCTTATTCCTGAAATCATAGGAAAGATATGCAATCATACTTTTCTAATATACATTAAAATATATACTTAACTATTAAAGTGTAAAATATATATCCAGGTGCCACCTGAAATCATCTTTCTAATCACCACCTATGTTGCCTACACTTCAGGAAATACCCAATGAGGGACACAGGCAGGGCCATCGCTGCATGGAGAAACAGGAGAGACCTGGGCAGGTGAGACAGAAATATGGGAACTTCTCAGACAATCCATTAAAACTTGGCACAGAGTAACAGCAGAAGGGTTAATCTGAACTACAAAAGGGCTTTTATTCCTGACAAAAGAGTTCCTTGAAATAGCAGCTTCTATAAGGCCCCACCCGCCAGTCCCACACACCTTTAAATAGAACAGTATGAAAGATTTTTGGAATTTAGACACTTTTACAGATGGGAGGTGATGTTGCTATCAGTATCTGCATTATGAGTTTACAGATCATTAACTCCTCACAGGGAAGTCTGGGCTGAGAGATGCATGCAGCAAACTCCAGCTACAGCTCTGGAGAAAACCACTGCCAGCTTTATATCTGCTTCTCCCAGGAAGATGAAGCATCTCAGAAACTACACTGAAAACAGGATTGATTTATAGGTCTGGCATTTGGGCACACGTTCAACAACAAAAGTAATGTTTAAGGTAAGTACTCCTGAAGTAAAGTAATAGCAAAGAGCAAACTGCCTTGGATTCCTACCAGCTGCCACAGAAGAGTGAGCCCAAACTATCTGCAGCCCAGGACAGGAGCACACCACCCAACAAGCCCCTCTGCTCATATACAGCAGCATGCATGTACATGCATGAGAGTATGCGCGTGCGCGCACACACACACGCCACATTGCTATTGTCCAGAATCTGATATCCTTTGATTAGAACTCATCTCATATCCTGAATGCTTTTTCATTGCATTCCTGATACTGTGCATTTGCTCTGAACTCTTCCTGAGATAGGACGTTCGTTCACTTTGTTCCTCCACAGTGCTAGGCACTCTGAATAGAACATAACCTGACAACATTTGTTGAATGACTGAATTGATAAGCTTTCTTTCCACAAACTTTGTTTGCTCTTCCCCTCTAAGGTCAAGTGTAGTAGAAAAGAATGGCATTCAAGAGGTATTCAGAATCAGCCTGGAATCCCCCAACACACAGGAAAGGCCTCTTGCCCAAAGCAGGAGACAGCTCTAGCAATATTATAGCAGCAAAGAAGAGGGAAAAACTCTATGCAGGCATCATGGGAACCTGGGAGAAAGACAACTTTCAGTGTGCTATATAATCCAGGCCTCCTGCTCTGAGAGCCATGTGCCACCTTGTGAGAATACCTCTGAGACAGAACAAGGCCAGGGACCCTTTGTAAGCCCCACTGAGCCTCACTCATTCTGCAGGTTCTCTGGCACCAGCCATACACCAAGGGCCAAGCAGTGCTCAGCAGTGAG